CTGGGCAGCTGTTCCAGCACCTCAACACTCTCTCTGTAAACAACTTGGAGGTTCTGGAAGGTCCTGCTCTCCATTTCACTGCTCACCAACAAGAAGCATCTCTCCTGAGATGACTGCTAAAGAAACTTCTCAGAACAGACAAAGATCAGAATTTCCATGTTTCATTTTGGTCCCTGAAGGAATTCTCCAGTCCCAGGGCACGCGAGCAGCTGCATCTACCTGCCAGCCCCATCACTCCTGAGGAATTAAGCCCAGGTTCAGAAGAACTTCGGCAAGGACGGCTACACAAAGGACACGCAGTGGCACGGGGCGCCCAAGGCGAGGCTGGACGCGGCCCTGGCAGCCCGACGGAGCTGCGGTGTGCCCGCCCAGCGCGGGGAGTCGGACGGACGGCCCTCAGAACACAGCCTCCGAAGCATCCCGACGTCGCGGCAGGGAAGCACACGAGGCCCGGCGAGGCCAGCCGCCACAGCGAGCCGCAGCCAAGCCCGCACTCACTTGGTGAAGGCCTCGCCCAGGTCGAGCACCACGGCGGTCTTCTCCCCGCCGCTTCCCAGGCCCTCGAACAGCGGCATCGCGGCTCCTCCGGGCCCCAACAGCTCCATAGAGACAGAGCCGCGCCTTCGCCCATTAGGGCTCTCCTTCTCGCGGCTCACTAAACCGCCCGTGGTTCCCGATCGTTTCTCGCCGCCTCCCGCTCCGATCTCCACACGCAGGGCCGCGAGCGCCCGCTGTTCGAAGCGGTTTTTCCTTCAGCTCCGCTGCGGGTTGGCTGCGCACAGCTGTGGCGGCGGGCGGCGTGAGCGCGGGAAAGGCGGGAAGCGTGAGGGGAGATTGAGGTCCCTGAGTGCCTAGGCGACTTCTTCCTTACATCTGATTTAAATCTCGTTCAGTCGCAAACCGTTCCCCTTTGCCCTGACCCTGCTAAGCAATCTGTCCACTTCTTAACTCTTCCCTCCCTTTAGACACTGAAAATAAGCAATTACGTGAGGAAAGTGTGCCTCGTGAAGTCTGTCAAAGGGTGTTGGTATCAAATAAGTGCATAGAACCCATTTCATTTTCAGGAAACAAAACAGTAGAAAAGCTATTAACTGGTGGGCTGGGTGTAGACATTTGCTCGCACCACACAGACAAGCCAACAAGACTGAAATGCATGCAACGTGCAGCGAGTCAGGGCTCTGAACGACCTGAGCCTACTTAGGCTGTTGTCCCTGTTAACTCAAGGCACACCCTGATGTTGTGTTGCTTAAAACCCAAGCTATGGGAGCAGCTGTTAGCAGTTCCTAAATATTAAGTTTCTCATGCGCTTTTAAGATTTGTCCCACATCCACAGTTTCTATTTAAGATGTGTGAAGATGGAGGCGTGCAGTGCAGTTGAAGGCTGAAAGGCTGTGAGGTGAGACACCGAAAGCTGCTGCTGCCCGTCTGCTCTGTTGCCCAAGCAAACCCTGCACTGCCCGGCACCGTACAAGTGGCTCAGTGAATCCATTTGCTCTTTGCTTCTGTCCTTTCAGGCCTTCCTAAATGTCTCTGAATCTCAAAGTGGGGTCAAAAATGTAGAGCTATGGAGAAGGACTAGAAAGCTGAAGCATCCCGGAAGGGCTCTGTATATAGAGGAGTTCAGGTAGTGCAGCAGGAGTGCAGGTAAGGCACAAAGTAGAAACCCTGTAACAACAAAGCCTGGGGAGATGCCTCACAAAGCACTTATATCCCTCATAGAGCCCATACAGCTTTCCTACAAATATTGTCCCATAATTCAGTATAAACCCCTACACTTCTCATATCAGCCACTACATCAGCTGCTGCTTCTTGGAGGAGGAAACGAGAAAAAAACAAGCTTGTAGCAGTGTGAGATGCAGCAAAAGACCAGCAAGCAAGCAGTGGGCTCTTGGCGTAGGAGTAAGCATTGCCAAGGCAGCAGAGGAAGATGCCAACACATGAAAAATAAACAAACAAAAGCCTGTAGCAATTAAATGCTCCAAGATGGAGTTGAATTTCTTAAATGCTTTTCATTATTACATTTTATGATTAGCGTCTTATGCTCTTCCAGAATACAGAAATAAAGCTGAACTTAAAACATATGCAAGCAAATATGCATAGAAGTATGTTTAACTGTCATTCTCATAAAAGAATCTTAACTTGGCCACGTTAGAGCAATACCCCACTGCAACAAGAACTCAAGTAGGATTAGACCTGACTGAATTGGTCAGTATGTGCGAGATGCTTTTCTCTAGGCTTCCTGTTAGGAAAATAATCCCTGAATTCACCAGTTCATAGTGGATGGATACGAGGAAATTTTTTGTTTCCAGAAGAGCAGTGATGCAGTGGCAGAGGCTGCCCAAGGTGGTGGAGTCACTGCCCCTGCAGGTGCTCAAGAACAGTGGAGATGGGGTGCTGAGGGACATTGTCAGTAGACATGGAGGGGATGGACTGGGGGAATCCAGAAGGCATTTTTCAGACTTAATAGCTCTGTATTTCTCTGATTAACATAAAACGTAAGCATGATGTTTTCACAACCTTTTCCAACCCCAGTTCTCACCTGTTTATAATGTACTACTATAAGTAAGTGATGGAAAGCACAGAAGTAACAGCAGAGCAGCAAGGCTCCTTGCTTAGAGCAAGTAGAGATTTGCTCAAATGCAACAGGTGTAGGCACAAAAACAAATAAAAGAAACTGCCTACCTTCGTAAGGCCTTAAGTAGACAGAAATCTCCAGCTAGATAATCTCACCTCCACTGCCAACCTTTAAATGATGACTGGGAAAAGGTGGAGCTAGGGCCCACCTCTTCTGGTCACTCTTCTGGTATATTGCATGCACCTGAGCTCCCCTGGCACAGTCCTGTCTTCCCACCAGATGCTCAATCACTGTTTCATGCCATGACTTAGCATTTCTGCTACACTATGTCATATATTTGTAGCACTTTTTTGTTTTAAATTCAATCTTTTACATAAAAAGAAAGCAACTTCGACAAAAGTCACAGACCTTACTTGAAATATATAGCCCATTGTTTCCTCTTCTACATGTTATCACTAGATTAGGAAAGATCAGAGCTTGGTGCTAATTACATCACTGTCTCTATAGTCCGTTGGAAATCTTTCCTTAAATTACATTAATCAATCACAGTTAACATGAGTTCTGAAACACAAGCTGCAGCTTAGAAGTGGCTTAATGTAATGGACAGTCTTTCTAGAGCCTAACAGTTATTGATAACAGAAGGCAGAGAGCTCAGAAGTGTGCCAGTGTTTCATAACAAAATCCATCCACACCGTGCTGGCTCCATCACGGAAGCTGCTTGCATAATGCAAAAAGCACTTGTGCCATCCTGAGTGTGTGACTGTTGAAAGAACAGATGGTAATGCTAACCATAAGAATCTGAGTATAAATACATTCAAGATAACAATACAAATGAAGATAATGATTCACAGTCTAAGGAGATGGTAGGACAATGAAGGCGGCTACGAAGCAGAAGGTTGAGGGGAGTAGAGCGCGGGATCTCTAACACAGTGAGACAGTGCAGCCTGTTCCTGTAACTTGTGGAAATAGTGGTATCCTTTATAAGCAAGGAAGAGGTTGCATGAATATACAGAAATGCCTGGGAATGAACTGTAGCCCCTTGGAATCAAGTAAAAATTCTCCAATTTATATTAAATTGTTTGGACACTTCTTTTGGCTAATGCAGTCCTTTTCATTTTCCATTTTCATTTAGTGAGGCACTGGCACAAGTTGCCCAAGAAGTGGTGGGTGCCCTGTCCCTGAAGACACCCAAGGTCAGGGTGTTCAGGCTCTGAACACCTGATGGAGCTGTGGGTGTCCCTGTTCACTGCTTGGGGGTTGGACCAGATGGCCTTTTAGGTTCCCTTCCAACTCCAGTGATTCTATGACATTTTTTTAGACCTCACTGGTGTTCAAGCCATTGGTAGAAATAATCATTCTGAGTACCTTGCAGAAAAGTTATTGTCACAGTCACCACTGTGCCTATCTGTAAGGAGAGATGTGGAAGGCAGTGCTGGTGCCTTGAGGTGGCAGCTAAGGGTTGCCCTAGTGCAGAAGTGCCAACCTGTGCTCCTGCAGACTACAGGATTACAGCTAAACCCTAGACGTGTTTCAATGGCATAGCATTATTTTTTTCTTGGAGAGAAAGTAAACAGTCTTGTGTGTCCCTACATGTCTTTGTCTGTGTGCTCACTTTAAGCTTCCTTAATCCCTATATACAGCTAGTTGTGTCACATAATGTTTTTTTTCTTTTTCCTTTCCCTCACAAAAGCAGTTGCATCCTTAGGGCCAGCTGTAGGCAGAACAGGGCTGTGCTCTATCCTTACGTCCCCTAGCTTGTACTGATAGTGGTGGCTGCCACAACCCAGGTGCAGCACCTTGTGCATGGCTTTGTTGAACCTCAAGAAGCAGGGAGATTGATGCTAGAACTTTGCTTAGGGTTAACTTGCTTTGGGGTGCTGTGTCAATTACTTTTTCTATTATCAGCCTAATTTCGTAGTGGAGTATGTAGGACAGGGGGAAAAATATCCAAGTGCTACAGGGAATTGACAGATGGTTCATATTTTAGCTGAGACTCCAATATGCATGGGGATGGCTTCTTCAGCACTTTATCTCTGGGAAAATTGTGATATGCCTTGCACTTTGATATTAACTGCATCGATTTTGTTAAAGGGTAAGAAGAGCGAGGGCTGTACAGACATTCAGTTATGGACGTGAGCACTGGTACTGCTGGGCTGTATTCCCAGAACAACTGCAACCAATTCCAGCGACCTTGGGCAAGTCAGCAAAAGTGTGGTACTCCTCTGAAAAGTGACGGTGTAAAAATGGTACTTTCCTACTCAGCAGATCTGATTGCTGTACACGCTCCAAGTCACATCTGCTGACTACAGTGACAAATGGAAGTTTTTATGGCTTTCCCACTCTCTGAACACTGCAGAATCAAGAGAGCTGGGAAAGCAGAAGCTGTGACTTCTGGTGGGACTAATTGCTATGAATTACATGGGCACTGCTTGGCCTCGTGCAGCTTTCCTGTTGCTGCTACTGGTGAGAAGCAAGGAAGAAGAACAGAATCCAAGGAGGTTCCACTGATTCTGTTTGGACTGCAGATAGCATTTTTGGGTTTGCAGTTTGAAGCAAAAAGAAATCTGTTCATCAGTGATGATCACATTTCAGAAAATCATCAAATCATTAAGGTTGGAAAAGACCACTAAGATCATCTAGTCCAACTATCAACCCACCACCACCATTTCTAATTGACCATAAACCTCCCATTCATTCTTTAAAGTGAGCTACACTTGCTTCCCAGCCTGTAACATGGGGATGCTGTTGTCAGTTTCCCATCAGCCCGATTTAGACTCATTGCTGCTCCATTCCGGTGACTGCTGTTTAATGGGAGGAGTAGGTACCTTTAATACAGATGCTACCAGGTGACATAAAGGTGAATTATAAAGCAAAACTGCAGAGGGAGATGTGCACTGATTTACGTGCTGGATGTCCCCAATATTCAATTTGGGAAAGTCATTCAGCAGAGAAATTAGTGTTAACTATTTTAAAATTGCCTTCACCTTCTGTGCCATGCCCTGACATAATTAAGGTGTCTGATATTGTCTCACCACTGATGCCAGGTGCTGCACTATAGGGTGCAGTATTCCAATGGTGGTGAGGCACTGGCACACGTTGCTTAGAGAGGTGGTGGGCTCCCCGTCCCTGCAAACACCCAAGGTCAGGCTGGATGGGCTCTGAGCACCTGATGGAGCTGTGGGTGTCCCTGTTCACTGTGGGGAGTGAGACCAGAGGGCCGTTAGGCGTTCCTTCCAACTCAGATGGTTCAATGATTCAGTTAATAAACCATATAAATGAACAACAAAACAGTGCTCTCAGGAGATTTCTGAGCTGAATTCTGCCTGCTTCCCTGTGCCTCCTTCTATCTGTTTTCAGTCTGCAGATTTTTTGTTGATAATGCAGAAGCCTGTGATTTTGGCAGGTTATGCGGGGTAGAGAAACTTGCAGCGTATGGGGGATTTGCAATATCAGATGGGGGAAAAATACAGCTATTTTGGTTACAGCGATTATCAGTGAAATATTTAACCTTGAGAGTATACAGCCTGGATTCAGTGTCAGTTACCCAGAGAAATGAAAAGGGAAAGCGAAAACCTCTCCAATACATTAAGTGCTCTGCAAGCTTTAGAGCACAGCAGAGCATCAGTTCCACGTGCTTTACATTTTAAAAACTTTCCTGAGACCTTTAGAGATTAGAAATAACAATGGAAGGGGCTGAAAACAGCACCTCTCATTTGGAATCATGGCTTCATAGCGAGGGTTGAACCGTGGATGCTGAAGCCTCTGCCTGGAGCCTGGTGAAACCATTGCTGACAGCACTGCGTCCTGGGAGGGGCATCCGTGTGTGGGGACAGGAGCAGCCGGTGGTGAATCAATGGCTGAGCCACAAAAGCTCTGCTGCATTTTAAAATAAGCCCTCATTGATTTTGGTTAGCTGTAAGATCTCACTACGCTTATCCAAAGATGGAACCTCTTTGTCTGAGCGTTCCCATTGCTGGAAGACCCCTCAGCCAAAACAGAACGGGGGGTGAGGATGGACCCAAGGGGAGTATTGGGTTCTTAACTGGGGGGTGAATAATATTTAACATAGCCACAGGAATGCAACCCTTTCTTCTTTTTTTTCTTCTCCTTCTCTCTCCCTTATGAAAGAGAAGTATCCTTTCTTTTTGCATATTGCCACATTATCTCTTTTTTTCTATAAAGATGGTGCAGCACTAGAAATATTGATTCATAAACAGATACCCAGATTGTACAATTCACAGATGTAAAACCAGAAGGGACTATTCTGATCATTGCTGATAGTTTCTTCCATCAAGCCTGACGCTTTTGACACAGCACCCCACAACATCCTTCTCTTCACATTAGAAAGATTCAGATTTGATGGGTGGACTGCTCCATAGATGAGGAACTGGTTGTGAGATTGTACTCAGAGAGTGGTCGTCAATGGCTCAGAGTCTGGACAGAGATCAGCGATGTGTGGTGCATCTGAAGAGTCAGTGCTGGGACCAGTGCACTTTAATACTTTAATCAATGACATCAACAGTGAGATATAACCCTTATAATTCCCCATTCCTGCAGGTATACAAGGTCAGGTTGAATGGGTTCTGAGATCCTAATGGAACTGTGGGTGTCCCCATTTATTGCACGGGATTGGGACCAGATGGCCTTAAGGGCCCCTTCCAGCTTAAAAGATTCTATTATTCTAACTCTGGAGTTCTTTTTGATTTCTTAATGGGACAGCTGTCCTGACTACTGATACAGGCATTCTTTATGCCAACTTATGCAGCGTTTAGCAAGATTGCCCTAAGAGAAATCGCCCTGACCTATGAAAAATCCGTCCTTTAGAAGTGTGAATATTGGATGCAGAATGCCACCAAAATGAATTGGGCAGGTTCCAGCTTGGTTGAAATCCAATAGAAAGCACTGTAAGAATAGGTAAGTGAAACACTAGAGTGAGTGTAACAAAGAAACCACTGATGTTATTTTCAGTAGCACAGCAAAGAGAAACAAACAAACCAAAACACTCCAAAATCCCACAGAGAACAACAAATTCTTCACGAGGAACATCTCAGCTCTCCTTAATCCCTTGTTTTATGCAGAGAGTCAAGCATTTAGCAGGTGCAAGCAGGTAAGATCTCACTGCACTATCTGCAAAACAGAGCCTTGTTTTATTGACCATTATAAATGGAAGTGCAGAGGAATTTGCTCGTTGGCTTCATGTGGTGGAACACAATCATAGCAAAACCTTTTGAGTTTCCTCAACCTCTCCTTTATTATTTCTTTATTCCCTCTCTGTAATTCCCCACCATATCTCTTCCCCCTCAGCCAAAAAAGAAGCACCTTAGGACTCTGCTCACCTGCCCCCTACTCAATGAGAACCACCTGCACCTGCTGCTGTGCTGCTTTGAAAGAGCCACGGCCCAGCACAGCACATAAAACCCTGGGAGAGCAGCTGGGACCTCATGGTGCCCCAACTCCTGGTCAAAGGAGGAAGGCAGAAGAACTAGTATTTTTTTCTTGCTGGTGGTAAGTTATAGACTTCTGAGCTTCAGTAATTCTTTGCTATTTGGCAAAGTGTGTTTACATGTTCCAGGAGCTGATGGTGTAAATGTTTGTTCTTTGTGTTACTTGGTTAGCTGCAGGCTTCTCAATAGGGGAAAAAAACCAAAAACATTTTGAGAAGAAGGAAGCAGGAGTAAAAATGTTTACTTGGCTCTCCTCCAGACCTAAGAGGTGTTTAAAATAAAACAACATCAAAACATCAACCTCCCTGAAACAAGCTATGTGTAAGATGCTATTTTAAAAATGTTCTCCTTGTAGAGAAAATGTGAGGGGAAGGTGACCTCTAAAGTTGAAGATACTGGAGGAGAATCTGTAACAGCAAGTTGCAAATGGTACTGTAGACCTTGCTTTCAGATCAGCGTTGCTGAAGTTGGAAGGGACCATTAAAGGCTCTCTTGTCCAACCTCCCTGCAACAAAGAGGGATCTGTACAGCTCCATCAGGTGCTCAGAGCCCCATCCAGCCTGACTAGGTACTCCTGTACATCTTCTGCAAAGATAGAGGAGCTACAGGAAAGAATGGTACAGACTCTTTATCAGGGTCTGTCTTAATAGAGTGAGGGGAAATAGTTTCAAGCTCAAGGAGGATAAATCTGAATTAGATGTAAAGAAAAACTCTTCTACAGTGAGAATGGTGAGGCACTGGTACAGGTTACCTGGAGATGTGGTTGATGCCTCTTCCCTGGTGATTTTCAAGGCAAGTGTGGATCGGGCCCTGGGCAACCTCACAGAGCTATGGTGTCCCTGTTCTCAGTACAGGGGAGTAAGGCTAAGTGACCTTTAAAGGTCCCTTCCAATTCTAAGGATTCTATGATTCTGTGGGGTGCCCTTCTGGTTAGATTCTGATCCTGCCTTTGGACTAAGAGCTGGAGACCAGCTCAGAGCTCAGCTTGTGTGTTGTCTGAAGAGGTGATCTGGAAGCTGAAACTTCCTTCAGATGAGGAGAAAACCACTAACGTGCTGTATGTGGTCTCGAGTCTGTCCTGAGTGACGTGAACAGTGTGAAGAACCATCCACCTCATGGTGGAGCACACCAGTGCCCTCTGCTTAGCAGCAGCACGTGCAATCCTTATAACCATCAACTGCTTGCTTTTCCCATGCTGTTACCGGACCCTTTGGAGATGGGCTAAAACCCACTGGGGGACAACAGCTGGCTGTCACCACATCGAACCCGTCCGCTTGGGGCAACTCACTGGGGCAGCACGGCACCGGAGCCGCTCAGCCCCCCGCACCTCCGACTGATAGCTGCGGTCCCGGGGAGGGGCTCGGGGTGCCCAGGGCTGCTCGGGGGCGGGCGGGGCTGAGCGGTCCGCCCAAGCGGGGCGGTATCTCCCGCTCTGCCGCCCCGCCTCGGCCGCGCGGCCCCGGGATGCTGCGGAGCGGAGCTGCGGGCGGAGGGAGGCAGGTGAGCCCGAAGGGGGAGCGGTTCGGGGAGCCGGCTGTGTGCTTGTGTACGTGGGAATGATGCGAGGGCGGCTGGGCAACATCCCTTTCTTCCTAAGGAGGTTATTTATTTATTCCCCCCTTCCCCCGGTGTTCGCTCTTTTCTAATTGATTATTATGATTTTCCACCCGCCTTCAGGCTCTTTGTTCTCAGCGAGCGGAGCGCTTGGGCTGGGCCCTGTGAATGGGGATGGGGATTGGGGGGGGCTCGAGGTCGCCGGCTCCATTTCATCCCCCCTCCGCGGTGTGGTCCCGGCGCCTTTGGGGCCGGCGGCTGCTGGGAGGGTCCTTCGGTCCTGGCACGGCTCTCTGTCGGTGCGGCATGGCGATGGGCAGCGGCGGTGTTGGGCTTTGTGCTGACACCCAGCTAACCTGGAAATGCAAGTAGGGACAACAATGGGGTGAGTCCGTGTGCGGCGAGCGGGCGTGCTGGTGCAGTCGGGTCTTAAACAACTGCTAATCCCGTTCATCGAAAAGCATAGTGAGCCCTACATAAAAATGGCCCGACAAGGTTGAGTTAATCTGCTTTGTGGTCTCCCAGGTGATCTGTTGTGTCTTGTTGTCTGTTGTGTTGAGCACTGACATTTCTGATTGTTTCTTACTGGTTGGAACCCGAATGCTTCAACTCCATTCCCAGTGATCCTGGAGGATGGCATTGCCACGCTTATGGTGTTTGCAAACTGTTAGGCTCTTTGGCCCTGTTCTTAACACCCTTTCTTCCCATCCTTTTAATTGCTCAGAAATCTATTGGACCTCTGACTCCTGGAGTGCTGAGACCTGGCAAGGGTCAGGAGCCACGGAGGGCTGAGTGCAGCTTCTAATTGCAAAGCTGAGCAGGGATTTATGTAGGTGGTCAGTACCTTTTTGAACAAAGTAAGCATTGCTTCACAGCTGAGGGAATAATGCCTAAAACATGCTGTCTTTCAGCCGTAGCACTCTGAGAAGAGACACAAATGCTCCAAGTGGAGGTAATGCATTATGCATTAAGGTGCCACGCAAGGCCAGCTTCCTACCAGCCCTAAAGGAGTAATAATCTCATTCTTTGCTTATAGTGATTTGTCCTCAAAGCTAGGGGAAGGTGTCTCTCTCTGGGTGATATGCAGCTGTGCTTGCATAGTTCAACTCATCCATCTCTGGCTGTGCCAGCATGGGGTTGTGTCATTGGGAAATCATCAGGAGCTGTTGGAGGTGGTTGAGATGCTGTCAGAGCACTGGCTCCTCAATTGTCTTGATGTAACTGTGTGAGGACAATAGAAGATGAAATGAATGCGTTCTTCCCTGTTGTACAAAAGTAGGAGTTGGAGCTCTGCAGTATTGTGTATTATCTGCTGGCTTTTGTATTCAGCACAAGTAATAATGCTTGGATAGCAAGTGTTAGCACTCCAGTAACATAGCACTTGATTTCTGGCTGACTTGCACATTTTTGGCTAAATCTTTACATTAAAAGATTTGTGGAGGTTTTTTTTTGTCCTTTTTCCTTACCAACTGGTAGATGAATTGCAGGGCTGAACATATAGAGCTGTTCAGCCAGTCAAAGCTACCATTATCAAGCTTGTACTGGAGGTGCAAAAAGCTGTGTTCTGCAAAGGCAGGGCGGTGATTTGTCTGAAGCCGACCTGTTAATCTCCTGTGTTCTCTGCTATACAATGTATGCAGCCACTTCAGTGCACAAGTGTCTTCTCTGTGGAAGAGGGACTGTTAGGGCAGGGTTATTAATTCAAATCCTGATCCTTTCCTTATTTCAACAGTTTGGCAAGTTCTGGTTGTATTTCTCCAGCAACAAGAAATAGAAGCAAATGGTGATCATGCAGATTTTCATCAAGTAAACTGGGCAAGACCCTGAGAATCTATTCCAGGGAATGGCTGCATGCAGCTGGGCTACAAAACGGTTTCAGGTGTTGCAATGTAGATCCGTAGATTGCAGTTCAATTGAAAGAGAGGGATCTGAGCTATTCAGTGCTTGTCCCCTTCAAACCTGCTGTGTCAAAACAATGGTGCCAGGTTGGGGTTCTGCCTGAGCTGACTACAAACAGGAATCAAAACTCCATGGAGGGAGTTAATGACTTAACAGAACCTGTGAAGAATGATTGTATGGAGAAAGGAGGTAGCCTGGTTCAAAGACAAAGCTGAGTCTAAGTCACCATGTGAAGTGTTTACATTGTCCCCCAGTTTGGTGACTTGCCAGCAGTAGTAGTAGATGGCTCTTAGTCTGATGGGCAGCTTTCAGAAATGCCCTGTTCTGGCACCTCTTGTAGCCTTGCAGCCCTTTGTGCTTCTTTCAGGCTCACCAGGTGTTAAAGGCCACTTTCCTCTGTGCTAAAGATAAAGCTATTTGGTTGCCTGCGGTTGTGCTACTTTAGCAGATGAGAAGCTGCATCTCCTGGGACTTGTTATTACGTGCAGGGGAAGTGGCTGGTGTTGTCTCCTGCCTCCTTCCTATTGGAAGCAAGGATTACTCTTCCACAGAGCCAAACTGCTGCTCGGTAGCTGTCCTCCAGGGCTTTAGCTTGGAGGATTCCGAGTGAGATACTGGGTTATTCCCTCAGCTGCAAGCTAGAAAGGAAAAGCCTTAATCCTACTATAGAGGAGCTGCTTGGTCAGAGCAGCTTGCTTTATCACTGGGCTAAGGCTGTAGAGCAAACTGACTATATAAGTAGCCAGGCAGGAGGAGAGATGTATAGCCCACTGCAGCCTGAGCACCAGGCTGCTGCAGCCGGCTGCTAAGCCCTAGATCAATTCTGTGTTAAGTGGAAGTGCTACAGGAAGGTGTTAAACTCTGCTTAAGTAGATAGCCAGGTCACTGCTGTTCATACACGATGTAATCCAGCTTCTTTCTAAAGTAGCTCTTAAGCTCTGACTAATCTCTGAAGATGAACTTGTGCCATTATCCTGCAGTGTGCTCTGTGCCACTGTCTCCAGATCTTATTGAATGTAGAGGTCTAGGTTAGCTTAGATCTGGTGGTTGTAGATTTCCTTAACACAAAACCTGCTGCTATCTCTGCCCTTTTACCCATGTAGAGCTGTGGCTGACAGTGCTTCTCAGCCTGGAGGAACAGTGTGAGGCTGCCCAAAGTTCCCTGGGAACTGCAGTGATAGGCTTACACAGCGTATTACCCATGTTATCTCCTAGCCAGAAGGAGGAAAGGCTCTTAATGCTTCTTTTTAACATTCTATTTAACAGGTCTTTAAGATCCAGCCTGCTATGGAGCAGCTTTCCCTTTTGCTTATTCCCAGTCCTATTGAGGGTGGAGTAAGCTTGTCAAGGAAGAGATTCTTTTCAATATCCCTGTTAACATCCTCTTTGAGTGTCTTAGGCTATTGGAGAACCTAGAGCTGGAAACCTACAGATGTGTATGTACACATTTATAATGTGTTTGGCTGCAGGATGAATACTGTGGTCATCTTTCATGTACATGTGAAGTTGTTCAGGCTTAACTATTGCTAAAATGTCTTGTGTACCCTAAAGGCTACCCATTTCTTCAAGAAGAACTGTATTTTAATCTAATTTGCTCTTTCACTTCATTTAAAGAATAAAAAACAAATCTTGATGCTTCATAGTCTGATCTTAGTAGTCTGATCTTAGCTGACCATTACTGAAGGGGTGTGATGTGAATGTGTTTGTATTCATACAGCAAACCAGATGCATGCTATTGGGCTACTATGCTACTATGACTTGTACAATATAGTCCTGGTGCTTTTTGACTACGAAAGCACGTAAAGCATTAACCTGGAAGAGAATTGCTGAATGATGTCAGTTCTCCAATCACTACTTTTTTTTTTTTGGTGAAGAAGGAGGTAGAGGAGATGGATGGATGCTGGTCTTCTGGAGGTAAGAAGCGCTGAAGTGGCGGGAGGTGTCTGTGCTGTGGCTGGTGGACATCTTGGTGGCTTCTGTCTAGAGCCTGAGCACCTGGTGTATGTGTGTGGCCCATGCTGCAGCAGCCCTAGCTGTGGATGAACAAGGTCGTAGAGAGTAAGGGAAAAGTGACTTGGTGTGGCTGGACCCTGCAGCATTTGACTCCAGCAGCCTGGTTTGTGGCTGAATGCTGAGATAAGCTTCTATGCTGTAGCTAAACTTATGGATCCTGAGGTGCTTAGCCCTCCTGAGGGCATTCAGCTAGAGGAATCTGTGCTGTGTGGAATAAGAGGCCCATTTTCTGATTGGAATACACAAATAGCTGTGTGACCTACTATGATATGCTTTCTAGTTGTCTCACATACACAATAACTTCTTCCAAAAGAAGAGGCAAATGTGTATGAGCAGCAGGACACAGAGGGCCTTTGTGTTGGATGCATTAGCACAAATGGGGTCTTTTTGAAATCCCTCTCCCTGTGGCAGAGGTTACCTCTCACACACCATCACATGGCCATGTGATGAAATGTGGGGGAGTGATACACCCTTGTAACAACTAATGCACCGTATGTACAAATGTAACTATTTACATGCTTGCTGTTTGGATGCGCAAACAAGGAGCATAGCGAGGTAGGGAAGGATGACTCACCCTGGTGTCCTTGAGCAAAGGTGACCTTTGCTTATTCCCATAAAGATCAAGGGGTGTTTTCGACAGTCCCAGCCTTTCCTTCTTCGTATCCACTGTCCCTCTTCATCTTGCATCTCTGTATTGAGACTTGATTTTTTTTTTTTGTTAGACAAAAGGTTTTGGGTAGGTTAGGAAAAATAAATGAGGCACGGGGATCTGTTGGTTGGGATCTGTAGGAGGGATCTGTGCAAAACTGACAAGTTCCAAATGTGCAAGTCCATGTCATCCAGTTATTTATGGCATGGGATCAATGTGTGTTTATGGATATGTAATCTGGATTCTTTTTTCCTTCCCTAGGTCTTACTTTTTGGACTTGTCAGCCTTGTGGACTTCTATGCACACCTCTTCAGCTATGAGTAGCTCAATAGGACTTAATATCTGTGTGGTCACTTGCTGCATCCTGCTCTTATCCTCTAGCCCACCATGCCTTGCATATCCACTACTGGAGGAGAGGGACATGACGAAGGCCCAGTACAGCTCATGGGCAGGGAATGGGGTAGAAGATGAAAGGACAAGCATACCGAATTTAATGAACAAGCTGAGCCCTTCTGAGCAAACGCTCTCTGAGGAGCCATCTGGAGTGTCAGCAAAGCCGTCTAGGATGCCCCTAAATGAAGCTTTCACTTCTGAAAGAGAAATGAGGCCTGTAAGCCCAAGCCGTACCTTTCTAGGCAGCCAGGGTCGGGATGTCAGCACCACCGTGCCTGGGGCACTGGCTGCTGTAGAAGAGGAGGAGCTCAGTCCCACCAAGTCAGAACTGAATGAAAATGGAGAGTTCAAGGCCATGCTGACTACAGCTGTGACCACCCTGAGCCCTCCTTTCCAGGAGGAATCCATCAGCGTGACCACCACAGAGGACTGTGAGGTGGGGCAGAGCTCTGCCAGCCTCCTGGCAAACCCTTTTTCTGTCACAGCTGCAGCAGAGGAGGAGATAGCAGAGAGCAGCTTGTACCCCTCAGCTGCACCTCAGCCCCACAGTGAGCAGGTACCCATGTCACAGCCCAGCACTCCCAGCCTGGAAAGGGTAAGTGACTACCTCATCATCCCAGTGGCACAGGTCCCAAGTGAGAGTTTTGAGGTGGGAATGCCAGAAGCCAACACAGGCAGTGCTCCAAGGTTACTGGCTTCACAAGGAGCCACTGCTGCTGACCATCCGCTTGTGACCACTGAGGCCTACCTTCATTTGGGGGCAGACACAGCTGTGGGGCAAGAAGAGCAGCCCACTGTAGCAAGCACTGCCTCCAGCCTCCCTACTGATTCCATGCCCCCAGACTGGGATGACACCAAGCTAGGGAGTACAAGTCAAAGGGAAATCATGCAGCATGAGGAGGTGGGGGAGGACCAAGTGACAACAGAAACATCCCAGATCCCACTTCCAGATATGGAGGAAGAGGATGATGATGTGACAAGAGTGTTGCCATCCCCAGCATCTGCTCCACCAACTCCAGGGCTTGTGAAGGAGATCAACTGCACAGCCCCTGCAGCAGTGCATGAGGAAGATGTACTGATTGCTTCCACAGCCAGCAGTGATGTTGCCCTCACAGGGGACTTGCCAGATGTAGACACAGGTGGTCTGAACTCTCTGGAAAACATAAACATGGTCACAGCAGAAGAGAAGAGCATCCTTCCTTCACAGCCAGAGGCTTCTGTGATGACAGACACAACACCTGATGTCTCTTCTACTCTGGAGAGCTCACTGGAAGGTAAAACCTGTCTGTTCACAGATACTTGTTTCTAAGTGTTAATTTAGGAGGGATGCTCCTTAGAGCCTGTACTTCCTTTTATTTTTTTTGAGTTTAAGTGGAAAAATGTATGATTTACCTCCCCTAGGAAGGAAGGGTTGTGGACCTTTGTATGGGGGTAATGGCTTAAATGGGTAACTTGCATGCATCAGGTACTCTTCATGTTGGGTGTTCCTATATACAGTGACCTTTTCCCCAAGCTAATGTAGTCTTTTGGGTGGTGTCCTGCCCTGAGTGATGTGAAGTAACTGCCCTAAGCTGTGCCTTCTCCTTGAGCTGAGAGGATGAGTTTAATTGTGAACAAGAACTGAGACTGGAGAGGCTGTGGCAGTGGGGGTGAGGGATGTCAGTGAAAGTCAAGGTCTCAATAGAAAATTAGAGTCTCATCAGCAGCAACTTGATGCTTGCTAAAGAGATTATTTTAATGACTTAGCAAAGCTTGGTTGGGGGCTTCTCTGGGGCAACGGCATGTGCCTAGGGTGGTTAGGAATGTGAACTGTGGCTAATGACTTTTTAATGTCTGTTGGGTACCTTTAATTTTGTCCCTTGGACTATAGAGACAAAGGGACAACTTCCTCTGTGCTATATCCAGAATGTGTTTTCTGCTGTAAGAGATGCAAAGCTAATTGCATGCTGATGCTGAAACAAGACTGATTAATTTCTAGATTAATTTATAGCCACTTGACTTCTCAGCAGGTTCCCTTCTGCTATTCCCAGGTGTTGGGAAAACATAAGCTATAAATAATACTTGTGCAGTAGAAAATAAACTCTACACAACTTGAGTCTCTTAGCTCTGAGAGTTAGTCACCAAAAATGCCATGCAGACAGCCTTGCTTGATTCTTATTTTTTTTCCTGTTTCCATACCATGGACTTGCAGTGCTCTGGTAGGTCTACAAGGGGGTGGCTAACTAATCAAGGATTGATTTTGCTACTTTCTTTTGTGCTATACATGGGGCATCATATGTTTCTAAGCTGCAAACCGACTAGATCTGCTGTTTACACTGTGACTGGAAGTAATACATGGTGCCAGTTCTTCAAATGTCTGTTCTGTTACTGTCAGCTGTCCTGTGAGTTGGTGCTGATGCTGCTTCTCGCTGCAGGCCTTACTCAGGAGGTGACAACTATTGCCCAGGAGGTGGCTGCTGCTGCTCTGACAGCTGTGACGCTGCTGCCTGCTCCTGCCCAGGGCACAGGAGCTGCAAGCCTTCCCCAGGAAACCAGTGGGGAGGACACCCAGATGCTGAGTGCCCCTGGTGCCACCCAGATGCTGACAGCTGCAGGCACCTCCACAGTGAGAACTCCAGGTGTGGAAGGTAGGGTTCAAGCTTTGCAGGTTCTCTCCCACAAAAACACAGTGGTGCATAGCACCAATTTTAGTGCTTGTACACTGAAATCTTCACACGGTATCCAGAGTCAAACTTCCTTTTTTCTTTGCCTTCTGGCCCTGGGCTGCTGCTGCTTTATGCTCATGCAGATCAGTCATGTTAAGATGTGCCAGCAGGGCATAATCTTTGTCCCAAATAAAAATGAGGTAGCTATCCTAAACAAAACCACCATGTGAAACCCCCACCCATCCTTGTTCACAAGTTGAATTTTAGCTTCAATCATTTAAGCCAGTTCCTTTTCTTTTTGGGGGGGGGATTACTTCTGGATTGCTGATGTTTGGTCCAAAGGAGGAAAAAAAGCTCACGTAGGAAAGAATGTGGAAGTGAAGGGGGTTTTCTTGTAAGAATTGAGGAGGCCATTGGAAGCCTACCCTGAGTCCTCTGATGGTGAGTTCTTGCTCTTGTGTCCAGGGTTGATGTAGCTCATACAGAAGTGCTTTAAGCTGTCATGTTTATCCAGCTGCTGGCTTGATGTCACCTTGACAAGCATACACAGGAGCCTGTCTGCTTGAGTGTAGCAAGGGCCCCCTTAGCACAAAATGACCTTTGTACTAGTAGGTGCTGCTGCAATGAAACTGCTGCTGGGCAGCACTTCTGCTAATTCTTACATTGCAGAGCATCAAAGGAAAGAATCAATTTCCACTGTATCCCTTAAAGTAAGGTTGCTCTGTAGGGGGAGAAGGCTCTTCCAGCAATTACCACTAATTAATTTGCTTCTGGGATTTAATTATAAATTCAAGTAACTCTCATCTTTGCAGTATACAACTAGATCTGTCACTTGATTCAGACCTTATCTGGTGTCTCAGTGCTTTAATCTTGCAATGGATCCTCAAAACAATGGAAGTAAAACTTTTAGTGTTGTTCTCACTAAGGGAACCTCCTGTGCTGGCTGTCCTGAAAGAGGAGCTGTCATTACAGCAGAATCACTTAATGTAGCAAGGAGTACAAGTGTCTGATAGCTTCTTTCCTGAGCTTAAGCTTTCATTAAGGAGCTCATTCTTAAATCATAGGATCATTAAGGTTGGAAGAGATTACAAAGATCATAGAGTCCAACACATGTCCCTCAGTGCCAACTCTAATGGTGATTTTTTTATATTGTTGTGCCAAATTTCTTGTCTTCTGCAGATCTCACAGATGTGGTACTGGTCACTGGTGAGAAGGCTGTTCCATCTCTGGGTGGATTGCTGGCTACGCAGTCTGGGCAAACAGAGGAACCATCCAGCAAAACAATGGTCCTGGTGACTCCAGCATCAGTGGCATCATCTGTCAGGAGAACAGCTCTTCCAGCTGTGAGGAAGATCAGTACAGCTGTAACCTATGGATTGGATCGGCTGGAGTCAGAAGGTACCACTGTTCTCAAGACTAAAGGGCAGGCAGCTTCCTGTGGAGAGGAGAAATTACCCTGATAATGTGGGCTTCCAATTGGTCTGTCTGCTACACGGCTATGCATGTTTTACTGTTGATAATAAAATTGTTGGAAAACCTGTCCCCTTCCAGGTGGTATAGGAAATGAGCAGTGAGGTGTTGTGGAGAATACCTGATTTCTAGTGGCTGTGGTAGGAAGCACGGACTTTCTCCTGGGGAAGCAACAGCAGTAGCCTGGGTTTAATTATCATTGGCTACTTCTGGGCATCTACTGCAGAGCTTCTACCAAGCAAGCAGTCAAGGGAGCATGTTCAGATAGCCAGAGATCCCTTTGTGAGTGGAGGGGCTCAGCATGAGATGGCCACCTCAGTGTGCATCTCCTCAGACCTTGCTGGAGTGAGTGTTGCCATGTTCATGCTTTTGTGGCAGTGCTGAGGGAGGTCAAGAATGCATCCCCTTTGAGATGCTCTTCTAGTTCAGCTGTTCACCAAAACTCATTGATGCAAATTCACACAAGGTTTTGATGAAGTGGGTCCTTCTTTAAAATCTATCTGCAGCTCTGTCACTGATCTCTTCAGCTCATCCATAACTTTCCTGTAGAGAATTGCTTTGATTCTTCCTGTTGTTTCTTTCACTTCGACTCTTCTGTTTGCTCATCTATCCCCTATTTTGTACTCCAGTGTCTGGGCCTACACCACCTGGCAGGGATTAATCTTCCTGCCTGTTTTGCTTCCCTCCCTTTATCTTGACCTTCTCCTACCTTCATATTTTACTGCAAAGGTTGGCAGTCCTCCAGGGGTGGTATGCCAGATGGTATTTTTCTTCTGATCAGAGGTGGGGTGCCACAGACAACAGCTAATCAGCATCTTTTCTCTGCATGAAGCAATAGCTTGAATTCCTGTTTAGTTTGGAGGACAGCAAAGGCAGGGAGCCCTCCCCTCTATGTGCAGGATGCTGCAGCTCCTGCCCTTTATCAGGCTTGCTGCTGGCTTTAATACCTGCCAGGAGTGACAGCACATGCTCCTTCCCCAATGGATCTCTAGTAGTGCAAGGATGTGGATTCCTTGGCTCTGAGGCACAGCTCTGCAGGTGCCTGTCATCCAAGGGATGTGGTGCTCCTTGTTATGCTGCATGTTTATGACAACTGGCACAGCTTTTTTTTTGTGGTCTAAAACTCTTTGGAGTAACTTAGGCTTTGTGATGAACTTTCCCTGGTGTTAGGGATCACCAATCTACACTATGTGAAGTGGGGCAAATACCACTTGAGGACAGGCTTTCTGCCTGGAGATGCTACTGCCCCAGTTAAGCACAGAGGAAGCTTTTGAGCTGCAACTGTTTACTGGTATCTTTTGGTAATGGCAGTTAGTGAGCACCTCCACCTCAGGGTGGAGTGGCATTGGGAAGGCTGATGTATTCCTTCCCAAATATCAATAATCTAGTGCTTACTCTCAAATATCCACATGGTACCAGATGCATTATGCACAGGAGTGCTTTCCTACAGAGCTACACTGAGCTCCAGCCCAGAGTGCCCAGACTGCAGGTGGATGCAAGATCAGACATCACTGCTGCAGACATAATGAAGTCCCTGGGGAGGTCCTGGTGCTTGCTGACCAGTGGAAGAAGTGCAGGCAGCTGGGTGAGCTCAGCTGGCTCTCACAGTGCTCAGTGTGGCTTGCTGCCTTGCCTTGCTGAGGGCCTGGCTCATCATTAAATATGGACCCCTGCTGTTCTGTTCTGTTTCTTGGGGACCATCTGTGCCAAACTGCCTGCAGTTAATTGCATCAGTATATTCACCTGCTTGGCTTGGATATAATTTAAAAAAAAAAAATCTCAAATTGCACAGATAAACACGAAGTGTTTTGAATAGCCTTCTAGTTAGGGTTGTCCTCATCTCTACAGGCTCTGGAGAGATTAGCAGAGTAATGAGCATATTCCTGCCTGGACTGTGCAGTGAGATTGGTTCTACTTGCCTTTCCAAGCTAAAGAAATCCTATAAGGGGATTATAGGATTTGGGGACAGGACACAGCTGAGGATGAGCCTTACTTGTCTGTGAGACTTAATGCTGTATTTTGTACCTGTGCCCAAAATTTCAGCATCTCTCTGGAAAGCCCTACACTCCAGAGAATGCTGTAAGACTTTGAGGATCCAAGGAGAAAATCTAGTTCAACTTATCTGTTCAGGATCATTCTGTAAGCTTCCCAGCACTTTTTGAAGTGGATCTATAAAAAGAAAACATCCAAAACTACTCTACAACAGCATGTAAGCCCTAGGGCTGGTTCCTGTTCAGTCATCTAGGCTTATCTAAGCATTGCTGCTGGGGCTGAGCTGTTTTCACAGGTCAGCATTCATAGGATGCTTGTGGGAGATGCTCTGCCTGTTGTGTGATGTCAGGAGCAGGCCAATAGCTCTGAAAACAGGCAACTTAAAGTCTAAGCTGTATAGGTCTTGAATTTGAGGAGCTCCTGATGAATCTGGCTAGCTGGTGAAGTCCTTGTTGCTATGGTGGAGGAGTAATCCTGGGGTTGGGAAGGCACATTGAAGAGGAAAGGTTCAGCTGAGAATTGTGTTGAATGAGCAAATACATAAGTATAGATGTAGTCAGCCTTGATTTGCAGCTTCTCTTGCTAATAAGGATAGGATTTCACCTTGGTTCTCAAATTATAAATTGAACACAGTTGTTAATACAGATTAGTGCTGGTGTGAGGAGTACTAGAGCTGTGTCTATTTTATGGAGCCATGCTCTGCTGGCAATAACAAAATAGGATGAGGTAATGGCCTTAAGCTGTGCCAGAAGAGGTTCACATTGGATATTAGGAAACACTTCTCAGAAAGAGAGGTGATGTGTTGGCACAGCTGCCCAGGGAGTGGTGGGGTCACCATCCCTGGAGGTGTTCATGAACTGTGGAGATGGTGACACTGAGGGATGTGGTCAGTGGGCAATATTTGTGGTAGGTGGATGATTGGACTAAGTGATCTTCATTGGTCTCTTCCACCACTAATGACACCATAAAAATGAGCCAGTTACAGGCTTAGGAACAGGTCCTGAGCTATGGAGAGACTGCTCTCATGAGCCTAGCAACATACGGCTAAGCAAAGCATAGACCTTGGGCAGCTCCAAATTTTTTTTGACTTGCATAGGGAAAATCATTTGTAGGATGTTTGGATCATCTATGTCAAAGTGTCTGCTGTGTAGGACAGAGCACAGCACTGTTCCTGGTGAGCTGGTGCATGCCTGTGTAATGCAATGTTTGGCTGAGAAGTCCTTCAGCAGTTCAAAGATATGGGGCTGGACTTGCCTTTGGGGTTAGCAAATCCTGTGTCCTGCAGCTGTAAGGAACCTGATCACTGTATCTTGGTTTCAGTTAACTCTGTTTTACTTCATTGATTACATTAAAGGCTGCTCTAGAACAGTGGAACATATCATATAGCACAAAATATATCCATGGTATTTTACTGATACATATTTGGTCCTTGGTTTTCAGTTTTTTAATGACTCTTCAAATTCTCTTTACTTTTAAGCCATTGCAGTACAAGGCATCCTTTTTCTGATGTGAAGTGTTACTTATTTTTAAATGGAAATCAAGGCTTTGAGTTCAATTGCTATTCGGACCCTGACTGTATGCATTTAGACCTGCTTCATTAAATCTCTGCAACCCCATTAAAAATTTAAATGAGGTTGCAGGGTTGTAAATAAGAAGGGCACTTAGCATCAGGCTAGTTAACCACACTAGGCTATAATTCCCCACCAGTTCTTCGGATATCAGCTGAATTGGCAAGGATCTGAAGATTTAAGACAAAGCACATGCAAAATGAATTAATAATGTTTTTGGTGCACACTTCCTATTGCTTCTAGCTTATTTCTGCTGCTGAAATGAGAACTGCTGTCCCTTTAGTACAGATTGACCTTGATCTTCCTCATGGATGATGGCTGTTCACTCCTACTTCTCCTTTGTACCAAAGAACCACGTATTTAAAAAAAACTCTAGCACTTCTTTCTTAGATATCTGATCCTGATTGCCACCGCTCTGCAGGTAGGTGGCCTGCTTCAGTCTGACCCATTCTACTGTTCTGGATAGGCACCTTGAAATTTCTAGCTGTATCTGACTTGTCATTTGTCTAAAAAATATCTTGAGGTTGTAGTTTTTCCCATGTTTATCTCTCAGTTGAACAAAAGTGACAGAAAACCCCTACAGATGCTGTTGAAAGGTAATTGGGCTCCGGGTGAAGATTTTAATGAAGCTTTTGTTTCCTAATCTGGGGATTAGCTCACCCTCCAGCTCTAGTAAGGAGGATTCAGCTAAGCAGGTATGTGGCAGTTCCTTCTGAGTGCTCTGCAAGGAGCTCTTCTCCTGGGCTGCTGCTGTCTGGGGTCTCTCAACCCACGTAGGGCTTTGTTGCTTGTGAGGCTTCTCCATGGTCCTTTGGGCATGGGGAGCAGAGCAGGCAATGCTGCAGAATGGTTTGGCTCTTTCAAAACCACCCAGATGACTTGCTTCTGTATCAGGATAATCCTGGAGCTTCGTGCTTTGAGTGGCGTGAGGCTTTGTCTAGAGATGAGTGGGCTTGCAGTCATCTTCACCCTTGGTGTTAGGTAGGACTGGAGTTAACCTTGGTATCCTGGAGGCTGTTGCCTGTAATAACACTTAACCACAGTTCATGTCATCAGCAATGGATCCATGCTGGTTACACCTGTGCATTTGTCTAGAAAGCAGCTTAAATCAGACACTTTTTCAACCCTTGGTCTGTTAGTTACTCTTTTCCCAAGTAGATAGCTAAATTATGTACTTCTGAAGAGAGACCCTTAAATGGCTTTCTTTGCAATGGAAAGAGGGATTTGCATATGGGAACACTCTTGTAACTGGGGGGAGGGGGAAATACCATGCTACAGGCCTCTTCTGTAGGAAACCATTTTGTTGAGAGAAGTAAACTCTGCATTTATCTTCTTCCATTCAATCAACTTACAGGTCATGGTAGTTAA